GACAACCTCATATGTCTGAGTGGGGTCTCTTATTTTCCACTTCCCAGGAAGTTACCTGGCCTGAGCATCAGAGGAACATCCTGCCTCCCCATTTCCATCCACCCCCTCCCCCCACACTAAACCATCAGGCCCCGGCATAGATTGTATTCTTGTTTATTTTGATTCAATGATTTTTTTTTTAAACTGAAGATTCCTTGTTTATTTGTTTGTTTGGGTTTTGGTTTTTCAAGACAGGGTTTCTCTACGTAACAGCCTTGGCTATGCTGAAACTCACTTCGTGACCAAGATGAGCTCAAACTCAGAAATGTGCCTGCCCCTGTCTCCTGAGTGCTAGGATTAAACGTGTGTGCCAACACCACTCAGCCAATTTAGATTTTTTTTTTAAAGGAGGAAGGGAAACAAGATAAAAACACCCACAAAAATCAGAGCGCAGCCCTAAAGGGAATGTTGCTAAAACCAACATAAAGAATACAAAACGGCGTCACTAAGTCTCCCTGCAAAATGCGCAGTGAAGCCTCTTTCTGCCCTCCTTGTTAAAAATGGGAATAGAGGCAGCACAGTAGCGTGACAACACATGCCTGTGACCTCAATACACAGGAAGCTGAGGCCAAAAGATCATGAGTTTAAGACCAGCCTTACCTAAATATCAAGTTAGAGACCACCTGGGGTTATAGGAGACCCCGCCTCAAAAAGAAGTAAAGGAAATTTGCATGCATGAGATACTAAAGACTGTCGCATGGTGGTGGCGCACGCCTTTAATCCCAGCACTTGGGAAGCAGAGGCAGGAGGATCGCTGTGAGTTTGAGGCCAGCCTAGTCTAAAGAGTAATGCCAGGACAGTCAAGGATGTGAGACTCCATCTCAAAAAAACAAAGCAAACAAAGACGGATGAGATTAAGTTGATCATTTATCTTTGAGAAATCAAAGAGAAACCAAAGAACTTGACAACATGAAAGGCCTTTTTAATCAAAATATTTATTGTATTTTATTTTTAATAGTGTGTATATCCGTGTGAGTAGAGCTGTCCGTGGAGGCTGGACAAGATCGTTGGATGCCCTGGAGCTGGAGTTGCAGGTGGTTGTGTCCTAACCACTGGACCATCTCTCTAGCCCCAGAGAATGCAGAAACAAAACAAAACCGAAACCCAATAACCAAAACAAACCTTTATTGTTTAAAAAAATACTTGAAGGGTTTTTTTCTTAAAAAAATAATAAACATCACATTCCAAAATTAAGCAAACCAAAAGCAGAAAATGTCTTTTCAATCTGTGATTGTGCATTCTGGAGCATCGGAGATGGAAGCCCAGCCTTATTCCTATTAAATGAGTTCTCTACTTATTTGCTGAATGACTACCCCAGTTTTGCTTTGTTACTTAAACCCTTTAAAGATGTTTGGCATCCCTTTGGGGGATTCATCTGCGCTGAAAGTCACTGAACTGAATGATGATAATAAAGAAAATAACGACAATGTTGATTTCTTTTCTTTCATTCTCCCTGCCCCCCGCCCCCAGACAGGGTTTCTCTGTGTAGTCCTGGCTGTCCTGGAACTCTCTCTGTAGACCAGGCTGGCCTCAAACACAGAGATTCACCTGCCTCTGCCTCCTGAGTGCTGGAATAAAACATCACCTCCTGACGACACGTTGAGTTTTATATTGTTGCGGTCTAGGTTTGTTATAAGTATATCAGGCCCTGGGTTAAAAGGTTTGTTTTTAAGCAAGTTATTATGATCTCATGTACTAACTGCTAAGAGAGCTCAGGGGAGCTAATTAGATCGTCCATAATGTCAGAGCTTTAAAACATCCGTTATCAATTATTTATGTCTATTTTCTATTTTTTTAATTTCCCTCTTTTAAAAACAATTTTCTTTGGAAGAGCATATTTAGGAGCTGGGGAGATGGCGCAGCAATTCAGAGCTGCTCTGGCGGAGGACCCAGGAGCCTCACAACCTTTCTAGGGGATCCGACGCCCTCCACTGACTTCCTCCAGCGTCAGACATATATGTGGTACCCACACATACAGTCACATAAAACACACCACATGCACGTGAAATACAATAGCGCTTAAAAATTTAAATGTTCACCTGTAACCTTTCAAAATGAGTATTAGTGCCTAGTTTTGAACGGGTAATTATTTTATTTTATTCAAAATTTCTACTTAAATTTTAATTCCATGGGTGTTGGGTGCCATAAATGAAATAAGTCAGACACAGAAAGACAAACACTACATATTGTAATTTAAATGTGGGTTTTCTGTTCTGTTTTTGTGTTGGAGACAGGGTCTCATGTAACCCAGGCTAGCTGCCAACTCTCATATTAGCCCAAACTGACCTTAAACTCCCGATTCTCCTGTCTCCATCTCTTGAGCGGTAGGGTGTGAGCCACCATAGTTAGCTCGTTCCCTATGTGGAAGCTTGAAGGAGTTCCCGCGGAAGCAGAGAACAGAATAAATATTACCAGGAAATGAGGAAGACTAGCAGACAGGAAGATGGAGGGAGGTGGGTAATGGATACAAAACACGGTTAGATGAAAGGGAGGGACTCGAGTGAGCTTTCCTGTTAGGTTTTCTTTAGTGTGTGTGTGTTCGTGAACATACTGAGGTGTTTGTTCGTGAAGGTCAGAACACAACCCAAAGCATTCAGTTCTCTCCCTTCCCCCTTCAGCCATGTGGATTCCGGGAAGCCAGGTCTGGCAGCCATCAACTTTTCTTGCTCTGTCATCTCTCCAACCCTGAGTTCTTTCTTTTCTTTTTTTAAAGTTTTTTAAATTTTTTTTAAATTTTATATGCATGATTGTTTTGCCTGCATATCTGTGCACCATATGTGTGCCTAGTGCCCACAAGAGGATGTCTGATCTCCAGGAATTATGGATGGTCTGTGAGCCGCCTTGTGGATCCTAGGAACTAGACCCAGGTTGTTGGGAGAGCAACAAACGCCCTTAATTGCTGGACCATCTCTCCAGGCTCTCAGCAGCCCTGGGTTCTTATGTTCTATAGCACGGTAGGGAAGTTTTTATTAACAGTGATTCATTATATATTTCATAAGGAACTAGAAGAGTCCCGAGGTCCCAAACACAAAGGAATGAGCATGTGTACCATGCAAATGCTACTTACTGTGATTTGATCATGACACATGGCATGCATGTGTTGGGTTATCACACTGTACCCATTCGTATGTACAATTATTGCGTTCCAATTAAAATAAGTGAACTATTTATTTACTGTGTCTATGTGTGTGTGAGCTCTCATATGCTGGTTCTGGACCCTTCTCAGAATGCACGAATTCATTGTCAGGATGAAGGAGGGACGGCCAGACAAATGGACTTTACACTACTGACCCTGTCACCTTGCCCGTACTGTTCTGTCTGTCTTATTGGAACACCTTCCTTCCTAACTGTTAAACTTCCTAGCTATCGGTTTAAGCTCCCTCACCTCGATTCTGTTCCCTCCACAGGAGATCAAGTGAGTCTCCTCCTACCTTCAGAGTCCGGAGTGATTCTTAATGTTATTATTAATAAAACTTCAGAGACTTAACTGGGTGTGGAGGTGCAGGCCTTTAAACCCAGCATTCAGGAGGCAGAGGTGGGAAGATCTCTGAGTTCTAGGCCAGCCTGGTTCACAGCAAGTTCCAAGTTCCAGGCCAATCAGGACTACAAAGTGAAAAGACTCTATCTCAAAAAACAAAACAAAAACAAACAAACAAAACAAAACACAAAATCAAAAACCACAAACACACAAAAATTCAGAGTCTGGATTCTTGGTGTTTCAACTGCCTGAGAGCTTCTCTGAGGACAGACACCACACTTTCTCAGCATTCTGTGTTCCCTAGACAGTGCCTGACACTCAGTAGTGAGTGCTTGTTAACAAAGACTGATAGAAATGGGTACAAAAGCCCTGCTTCCTCATCCCCTACCCATATTGAGGGATTGCTGATGGTGACCTGTTTATTGTCATCATTTAGCAGGTACCTGGTAAAAGCTACTGAACTGAAGAGCAGAATTATTCTGCAAACGAAGCAAAGCAGACATTTGGTTCCTAGACAGATTAAAAAAAAAATCATGTGGCATACTGGGTCAAAACTTGGGGGTTCAAAATATACTAATTTCTGGGCTGGAAGGGGTGAGGTGGGGAGGGTGGGCTCCTCACCAGCTCATCACAGCAGCAGAATTTCTTCCAGATGCTGTTCAATATTTGTGTGTGTGTGTGGGGAGGGGGGGGCGGGGAGCTGCTAATCCACCGTGGCTCAACTTGGGCTAGAACAAGGCTTCTCTTCCCTTGTGCAGAGAGGTGGGAACTCTCGACTGTTCATGAGGACACACAATAGGTTCATAGTTTGCAATCGGCTGGTAATATAATATAATAGGCTCCTGATACCTATCTTGAGCCTTCTCCCACCATCTGTTTCCCAAACCGCCACCCAGCAGCGACCTACTACTAGGTGTTCTGCGGAGTAACGGCCTACAGGTCGACAGAGTACCCAAAACTAAAAGCGAATGGGTCCAACAGCATCTCATGCGGTGCTCAGCACCAAGCAACCTAAAAGAAGCCTCTGCTGTGACGTCTAGGCCCAACTGCTGGGCTGCACTAGGATCCCACACAGCGAAGGGAGGGTTCCTCGGAGGGCATCAGTTTACACTGGTCCCCTACTCGCCTTTAGGATGGGGCATTGGGCCCAAAAAGGCAAAGTGGTCCAGGGCTCTGAGGTGGGGGTTAGGATGGCTATCCCATTGCGGAGGTCAGAGAGAGCCCCGTAGCAGAGCTAAGTTTGCACGGCGAGTATATTCTCGGCGTGGAGGAGGCTGGTGAAGGCTCGGGATGAACACTATGCTTGCTCCTGCACGGCTTCCCCGTGGGACTCAGGAATCAAGGGAAGCCCTGCGCTCCGAGGACTTAGTCTCCCCCTGCGAGAGAGCTGAGTTCCTGGGATTCAAGGCCACGGATCTGGGCACTCGACCGCGCCCTCCAGGTATCTCCCGAAGGGGTGGAGAGCAGCTAGGGTCCGTGTGGACGGAGCGGGGCGTGGGTGGAGCGGGGCGTGGGTGGGGCTCCGACCTGTGATTCAGAGAGCTGGGACCTGCGGGAGTCTGCTGGTGCCCCACACTCGGACCCGAGATGACAGCCAGCAAGCGAGTAGCGAAGGTAGGCGCATTGAAGACGACACCTTTCTAGGACCCCCGCCCCATGCCCTACGCCTTCCGTTTCCTCCGGCTGACCTCTGAGCGCTTTTGCTTATTAGGGATACCAGGGTGGGCTGAAACCCAAGCATCTTCACCCTCTCCCAATGAAGGAGTGAGAGGAGGCGGTCGGTGTGTGTGTGTGTGTGTGTGTGTGTGTGTGTGTGTGTGTGAGTTTGTGGGCTAGGATGGGGACACACAAGACAAGAACTGTCACTCGCTTTCCAAGTTGTACTAGGGTGAATGTGTGGGTGAGAATGAACAAGCTTCCCCCAACTAGTTTCAGTTTCAATTCTGCTAGAAATTTATTAGTGGGGCGTTATCTCAGGCACGGGAAGGGTTCTGTTGCGCCACCTACTGGGTGGACCCATAATTTGATCCGTATTTTAATCCAGACCCCAGAAACTAGAGTTGCAGACGGGATGGGCGGTCCCTGGAATGGATGTATACAGAATAGTCCCTGGATGAGAAATTCCAATTTATGCCCTGTTAGGTTCGCACGCAGTCCGCTGCAGATGATAAATGTCTATTTTGTACAAGCCCAGTCAGGCGGCAGGGGGCAGAAAAGGAACAAAAATCGTATCCCCTTTGAACTTTCGTTTCTTTCTGGGACACTGTTTGAGTACGATCTGGAAGAATGGGAAGGGGGCAGTTTTCTTAGGGCTGTCTAGAGGGCTGAAGGGAGCCGCGGTTGGAGATCCCAGCAGAGAAACGCTGGTGAGCTGGGGCTGGCACACCCAGACTTTAAGTCTTCCCCAACAGCCCCTCCAGTCTGCCGAATTTAGGGAAAGGCTGTCTCACGAGAGAGAAAAAGGGTGGCCGTTGTCCTCAGCTCTACAAAGGGAAATTCTTTAAGCTGGAGAAGGCCAGAGCAGGCCCATTCCAGAACTACAATTTGAAGGCTGGCGCAAAATGGGGCAGAGGGTCTTTGCTACCTCAATGCTAAGAGATGGACTGCCTTGTATTGCTCCAGAACCGAGTGCCAGGCAGTTTATTTTATCTAGTTTTTATAGCGGCTCTGTGAGATCATTGTGTCTTTCCATTTCACAGAGGAGGAGATTGAGGTATCAGAGAGAACGTGGCTGACCAGTGCTATTCACTATTCAGCGGGAGTGACTGGGCTGGGATTGGAGCCCAGACTGAAGAGACTCTAACTCGCAGGGTTTTTAATGGCTTTGTGTTTTCACTTTCGGTTCCTCTAAGTCAGGTGACTTACTAGCAGGCTTTGGGAGGAGCTGTGTGCCCTAGCTTGGATTTCAGCAATTATGGGAAAGGCATGGCAGAATTCACAAAAACACGTGAGATCCAAGTATTCCCAGTGGTAAGAGAGAAAAATTCCCCTTTGGTATTTTTTTTTTTAAGATAGGTTTTATGTAGTCTGGGTTGGTCTCAGACTTGATACATAGCTGACAATGAGCTTTAATTTCTTTTTTAAAATTATTACTTTTATTTTATGTGTATGGGTGTTCTGCCTGCATCTATGTCTGTGAATCACCTGCATGCCTGGTGCTAGCAGAGGCAAAAGAGAATATCAGATCCCTTGTAACTGGTTGTCACAGAGATAGCTGTTAGTCACCATATGGGTGCTAGGAATTGAACCCAGGTCCTCTGGGTTAGAGCAATAAGTGGCACCTAACTGCTGAACCTTTAATTTCTTGATTTTTCGGCCTCCACCTCTCCAAGTCCTGGGATCAGAGATGTGTAACACTTTATCAAGTTTTATGCAGGGCTGGGAATTGAACCCAGGGCTTCACACATGCCAAGCAAACACTCTACCAACTAAGCTGCATCTCCAGCCCAAAACGTGTCCGCTCAAAATCTGTGTTCTACCTAAGCCTCTCTTCTTGCCCAAGTTCTAGAAGATGGTTATAGTTAGGTGGTCATGGCTCTAAGTAGGAGACACAGGAAGCGAATTGTTGGTGTGACTAGACGTGGAAGAGAGGCTGAGAGATAGAAGGGAGTGTGGGAAGTTTATGTGTGTGGGAGAGGGAGTACAGAAGGCTTACCACAGCGAAGGACCCCACCTCCAACCCCCTGGGCAGGGGAACTTTCTCTTTGCCTGTGTTTACACAAGCATTTCTCAACCTTATCTCTGTTGACACTTGGGACCAGATAATTCTTTGCAGGACGTTTCCTCAGCGTCTGGACTTTACTTGCTGAACTGTGGAAGCACTTACCCCATTTGGCATAAAGGAGGATGTGTCTAGACATTGGCAAATGTGCCCTAGTGGGTAAATGCACCCCTGCATGAGAACTACCAGTTCGTATCTATTCATTGTCCCAGAGGACTGAGTTGCCTTGAATGTGTGTTTTACAACGTACCCCTCTCCCCCAAAACGAGAAGATCTGGAGTTCCATGGGTGAGGTCCCTTGTTCAGATGCACCATGGTAACTGGAGACTCTGGGCATGCTGGGGGGTGTGGTTCAGTGGTAGGCTACCACCTAGTAGGGTACCACCACTAGGCACTTAGTTCCACCCCTAGTACTGCGCTAACCAAACCAAACCCACAAACTCTGGGTGGTTCTGTAGTGATGAAGCTGTTTAGCTCAACTTTCCCAAATGTACTTAGCCATGAAGCCCTTTTCCAGTAATAAGTATTAATATGCCAGAGGCACCTGCACACACTTGTCCTGTCTGGGCCTTTGGCTTTGGTATTCTGCTTTTCCGCCTGGCGGGCTCCTATCTGCTCCTTGAGGCCCATCTCACGGCAGGCGACCTCTGTGAAGACTCCTGTTTCCCCTTTCCCTCCTTCCTGATCGTGTGTTCATCCACACTATCCATACCCTCCAGTCTGAGTTCCCTCCATGACCCCAGAGATGTTCTTGAGGGCTGCACCCTGTCTTTGTCAAGGGTCAGCAGAGGATGCTCAGCACACTGCTTCTGGGAGAATCAGGGATGCCCAAGTGATTGGGCCCCATTTCTGAGAACCCCTGGTTACCTACCATGTGTCACGTAGAGGCCCTTATTAGGGGCAGCCTGGATCAGTCCCTTACCGCTGGAGTGGTGTGGTGGAGGGGCATGGATGGGTGATGTCCTTGTCTTTGTTCTGCCAGTGCATATGGTGTTGGACACTCAGCAGACATCACTGAACACGGAGAGAGGAAACGGGACTCCGTGACTTTCCAGGAAGAGGGCAGGAGGACAGAGTTAGGTACCTTGCTTTCAGGAAGGAAGGTTTCTAGAAGCGCTTACTCCCAAGTTCTCAATATTTGAGAGCAGTGATCAGTTGATTCTCATACTGGGGCCTATGGGCCTGGGGTGAGGCTGAAATTAGCTATGCTGAGTGATCACACCAACTAAGTGCTCCCCAAGTGGTGGCTCTCGAAGTTGGGTTTCCATTTGGGCCCCCAGCTCACAAATAACAGCATGAAGACTTATTAATTATGAAAACTTGGCCTTGGCTTAGGCGTTTCCCATCTATCTCATATGACTTAAATTAACCTGTTTTTATTAATCTACGTTCTGCCATGTGGCTCAGTTACCTCTCTTCTGTATTGGGTGTCCGACTTCTTCAGTGTCTAACTGGTGTCTACTGAATGCCTAGCTTCATCCTGAGTTCCTCTCTCTGTCTGGAAGTCCCGCCTATTCTCTCCCACCTAGCTATTGGCCAGCCAGTTCTTTATTAAACAAATCATAGTGACACATCTTCACACAGTGTAAGCAACTATTCCACAACAGGCTCTGACCTTTTGCTTTCTGCTCTTGGGATATCCTGTTTGGGCTTGCTGCATGGCTGCCGGTCGGGGGCTGGGGTTATGGGCACTTGGCCCATTGTCTCCCATGTGACCCCTACAGGAGTTGGAGGATCTTTTGGAACAACTTCCACCGTACTTGCGGGACCTGTCTGGCGATGATGACAGTGTGCTGGTGTGGAAGGTGCTCCTGCTGCCTGTGAGTGTCCTTGGGGACTCTTAGATGGGGGGGGCATAGGCTTGCATGGGCAGGGAGGGACAGGCCTAGGTGAGACCGTCCTTTGACCTGGGGTCTCTTTCTGGAGGTTTGCTGTATGTTAAAGGCCCTGTCTCTGGACCAATTCCTTCCAAATCCAATCAGACCAATGAACACACCAACAGAAACTTTGGACTTAAGAGGACATCTCTCCTCCAAAGTGGTAGCTACCAAGTCCAGCAAAGAAGATGCAACAGACAAACTATCAAAAATAGGCGAGGCTCAGTTGGTGCTTATGACGGCCTGAGTTCAACCCTTAGCCCCCACGGAACAAATCAAGCGTAATGCTAGGAGCTTGCAATCCCAGAGCCGAGGAGGCAGACAGGGCTCTGGAACTCACTAACCTGGCAGCCTAGCTTACTGGTAATTTTCAGGTCAGTGGGAAGCCCTGCCTCCCTAAACAAGGTAGTATAACACCCCCTCCCAAACACACACACACACACACACACACACACACACACACACACACATTCTGAGGTAGGATCTCTCTATGTAGCCCTGCTTGGTCTGGAACTTGCTGTGCAGACCAGGTTGGTCTTGAAGTCAGAGTAGAGTACAGTCTCCTGAGTGCTGGAATTAGAACATGTGCTACCATGCCTAGTTAATATAGCTTTTGACAAGATGAGACCTTCTTAGGTTTTTGTTGTTGTTGTTTGTTTTTGATATGGGGTTCGTGATTCCGCTTGGGAAATAACACCTAGAAGAAAGGAGAAACAAAAGACACAGTCCTTTGCTGGTCAAAGCTGTTGCAACAAACCGATGGTCTAATTGTTTAGAATCTGTACTTACCACGCAATGGTCTCGCCTTCTCCTTTCCCTAACCTGTAGTCCAGAAAAATGGAGAAAGGCTTGAGCTAGGCCAGCATCTGAGTCCTGTCAAGGTCTTTCAGCCCCTGGGTTGAAGCCGTCCAGATGCTGGGTCACAAGTGTTAGGGGAAAGATACTGAAATGGGTCCTGGTTATGTCTCCAAGGAGACCAGTTTGGGATGACGACACTGAAGGAGGAGGAGCGGGTGGGAAGGAAGGTCCTGTTTGGGGGACACCATGAAGTCAGAGGCTCTCTATGGTTGGCTCCTCAGGCAGGTGTGCCAAAACCTTTCCAGCCAATCAGGAGGCTGAAGGAAATTCGTTAGACTCTAGCCCTGCCTGGGGAGCTGTGATGAAGAAAGTAACTAGCCTGCAGGGAAGGAGAACCTTGAGGATGGGCAGACCTCTTGCTCCAGTAAGGCCGAGCCTCGATTCACGATTCACACGTTGGTCCAGACAGTCCCACCTGTCCCTTCAGCTGGTCACAGCTGCGCTGGCCTTGTGAAACTGTGTAGAGGGTCACAGATGGATCACGTCTGAAGAACACGGCCTGAGGTCACCCCGAGAGCCCTCACACCTTAAGGAAGGACATCTTCTTTTACAGATGGGGATGTGGGAAGCCAGGAAGGCAAGGACTGTGCCCATAGTTCCACAGAGTAAGGTGGAAAGGCGGGGCAGGGGCTCATCTGGCTCCAGAGCTTCATTTCATCTCCCGTGTCTATGTTTGTCTTTATGAACCGTGGAAGCAAGAAGCCAGTTTAAGTGCTGTCCACGTCTGTTGTTGTTGTTGTTATTGCTTTTTAGACTTTAGCCTGGCACTTTCTAAGTAGGCTAGGCAGGCTAAGGAGGCAGCCTGTTTGGGCATCCCCCAGCATCAGGATGACAAAGGGGTGACATCATGTCCACCGTTTTTTTTTTTTCCATACAGGGATTTTGGGGACCCAAATCAGGTCCATTTCTAGAACTTTTCCACCCGAATTTCAAACTCTGCCTCCATCTGCTAATCTCTCTGCATTCCCCCAGCAGGTGTTGGAGGATAAGCACTTTTTCTTTTCTATTTCTAGGATTTGACCGTTCTAGGTATTAACACGAGTGCCATCAATACAGCAGCCATCAGTTTTTTAAAAGCTTGCTTATTTTGCTTATCGTGATGTCTTCAAGGTTCCTCCAAGTTGTAGCATGTATTGTGTGTCTCTAGCATGTATTATGTGCCCCTAGCATGTATTATGTGCCCCTAGCATCTATTATGTGCCTTTAGCATGTGTTATGTGCCTCTAGCATATATTATGTGCCTCTAGCATGTGTTATGTGTCTCTAGCATGTATTATG